TGCGTTTCCCTTGGGAGGTCCTCGCGCATGCCCCCGTCCCCGCCTGTGAGTGCGGGAGAGGAGCGAGGTCCTGGCACCCCTGCCATCACCGCCAAGCGGAGCTCCAAGCGCCCAGTTTGGAGATGAACACCCCGCACATGCCACTAATACTGTCCGGCTGAGCATGAAGCACCTTCCTTGGGGACCTGGGCCGGTGTCTGGGGCCCAGTGATGCGGACAGGTGGTCCCCGGGGCACTGGAGTCAGGGACCGGAGTACTGAGGAGCGAGGGACACAGGCCCGGGCAGCAGCAGAGCTTTCCTGATGCAGGACCCTCCGAGCTGCCTTTGCCCACCGCATGGGTCCCTTTTGCAGAGGCTGCACTTTGCTGCTAGTGTCAAGAGAGGAAGGAGAGTTGCGAAATCCAGGCGGCCCGCCACCCACACCGGAACTAGGGTGCAGGCCTCAGTCAGCTTGGTTCCGGCCTTAGGTTACTGGAGGCCTAGCCTGGGGCCTCTCTGATCCTGGTTTTCTTGGCCATGGCTGACCCTCTGGTCTGTTAACCTACCTGTAAAACGACTCGATAGCTGGGTCTAGAAGGGCCATATAGCTTTAGGGCTTTAGGGTCACCCCCTGCTCCAGGGAGTCTCTGGGCGAGGAGGCCTGATTGCCATTCTTACCCCACCTTCTCATTGCAGTCAGGTGGCTCCTGTGCCATCTGGGATCGCTGACACTATACCCTGTGGTGTCATCTGGTTGTCCTTGATGTCCTGAGGTTGATAGCAGCCCAAAGGCTTCCACATGTCCAGAGCTCTAAGATGGGCTCTGCTGGCCTCCACCTGTCTCCAAGAGGCTGTCCCTTCCCCAAGGCCTTTTCAAGCCCACGCCTGACAGGACTTTCTCGGGCCCAGCCTCTCCTGATTTCTGCAGTCTTGAACACGACTCCCCACGGGCCCTCAATGCCATGACAGTGCCTCCTCAGCCCTATTCCAGGGCCCCTCTCCCGCTCCCTGGCTAAGAGCCTGTGTTCCCACCAACACCCTGGCGCAGGCCTTCATCTCAGCTTCCTCCAGAACATCTCTATGCCCAGGTGTTCCATGCTGTCCCATCAGCGTCTGAAGCCAAATCCAGCCACTTACTCTCCTCCCCCAAGCCTAGCTCAGCTCCCAGCTCTCCTGGCTCTGTGAACGGTACCACGGACCTCCCGTGTTGCATCTTGGACGCCCACGTTGCTCATTCCAGGTCCCTGCCGGGCCATGTTCTTCCCAACTGGCCTCAATTCGTCCCTTCCTCCACCACCACCATCTTTAGGATGCCTCTTCCCTGGACGAAGCTGCTGCCCCCAGCCTGCCACGAGGGCCTGCAGGGCAGGGATACTGGGAAAAGGAAGTTGACCAGAAGCCTCTGGGCAGATGAGAGGCCTGATGTTGGGGAACCCCTCGGGCCTCAGGGATCCCTACCGGGGGCTGCACAGTGAGGCCAGAGGGGAGGCCAAGGTCAGAGAGGGCCAAGGGCCCAGAAGATGCGGTGTGACTGTCCCTGGGGAGGGGTGGCTCAGCCCAGTGCCTGGCACGCAGGGGGTGCTCAGTGAGGCTGAGATGGTCCCAGTCCATCCAAACATGATGCCAAGCACGGAGCTGCCGGCACCTCCTGCTGCTTACCTGGGGAGAGGGCAGAAGATGTCCCCTCCTCTCCGGAGAAGCGGGGACGGGCACTGTACAGCCACCGAGTGGGGAGCAGGAGCCAGCAGGGAGGGGTGGGAGCCCCCACCCTGCCCTGGGCAGGCCGGCCTTGGCTGGCTGCGGTAGCCAGGGAAGGCACCTGCCACAAGACCTTCCCCTCAGGCCCCAGCTGAGGCTGAAAAGTGGTCACTAGGCACAAAAAGAGTCTGAGACGGCCAAGACGTCAGGCACCATTTTTTATAAAAACGCATAGTCTCATTTTTCACTCTTTAAAATCACATTCAAAAATCGGCAAAGAAACGCCCCAGGGAGTGAGTAGACGGAAGGGGAGGGCGCACTGACCCAGCCCCGAGGGGGGGGGGGGGCGTGACACCACACATGGCAGCGCGACTGGCACGAGGGGGCATGCGGCGGGCGAGGTGGCGCCCTGGGGTGGTGGCACTGACAGGACGTGGGCTGTGGGACAAGACAGCCCAGGGGGCACACTGATGGGCCTAGGGCAGGGAGGGCTGGCCCCCTCGCGCTGTGCTGCCCACCCCCGCCAGCCCCCTGTGGTCCTGGGCAGATGAGGTCTCACCCAGCCCAGCAACAGGGGGACCTCGGGGCCAGGCTAGGCCAGTGTGGCCCAATCCACAGCTGCCTTTCTGTGGTCCCTGAGCCCGGGCGCTTGGGGTCGGGGGTGAGGGGAGCTTAGGTGGGGGGCAGCAGCACCCACTGCCAATGCCACCCTCCAGGCCGAGCCCCACAGTGTCCAGGGAACGTAGGAATGGAGGCAGCCAGTGACACAGGGGCTTTTCCTGAACAATGGCACAGGAGCCCAAGTCACTGTGGGAGGCCGGGGGCCAGGGAGACAACGGGCCCTCTCCTCTCGACAGTGGCCAGAGGGCAGGACAGTGCAGGGCTCTGTCCCTCTGTTGCAAGAGGGGCTTCGGTGGGCAAATTCAAGTAGTATCCCTGTGCTGTGCTGTGCCCTCCCCTGGGGTGGGAGACGCTGGGCCCCCCAGCAGTGCCCGTGGGCACAGAGCACAGCTCAGAGCCTGAGGTGGCACAACCTGGCGTGGTATTGTCCCCCAGGGGAGGGCGGGAGGGCTGCTGGGGGCTGCTGCTCCCCCCACGGGAAGATACTGGGAGCAGGCGGCCCTGGGTCGGGACAGAGGGTGCTGGACAGTGGCTGGGTTGGTGGCAGCAGGAGCCAAGGCAAGCAGGCCCCTCCCTGGGGGCTGGGCCAGGCTGGGGCCACAGGAAATCACAATAATTACAAAATAAAACCTTTTCCGCTTTGCGGGAAAACAAATAATAAAAATTCGACAAAATAAATTAAAGGTTTATAAAAGGCGGGCGGGCGTCAGAGGCCGTTGGCGCTGCCGCGCTGGACCAGCGGCACCTTGCTCAGCTCCACGACGGGCGAGCGCGGCTTGTTCTTCATCTTGGGCACCCGCTGCACCAGCTGCTGGGCCTCGCGGTAGGCGTCGCGCAGCTCCTTCTTCCACTGCACCAGCTCGGGGTCGCTCTGCGGAGCCAGGCTCGGTCAGCCGGCCCAGCCCAGGCCGCCCCGCCCCGCCCCACGGCCCCCACTCACGTCGCACTGCAGGACGAACTGCTTGCCGCCGCGGATCTTGAGAAGGAGGCACTTGCGCTCCTTGATTTGCGTCTCCTCCACGGACTGGATCTCCTCCATGGTCAGCAGGCTCTGCTGCAGGGCCGGAGGGACGGGCGGTGGGTGAGGGCCAGGCCGGCCACGGGGCACCCGGCTTCCCGACTGCGGCCCCAGTTCTTACCGGGGCCTCGCCCTCGCCCCGCCACTCAAGCCGGTTGGGGAACAGGTAGAAGTACCGCCGCTGCCACTGGGTCAGGAAGGGGTTGCCCATCTTAGACATGTAGCCGTGCATGATACAGTCCTTCCCCAGCGCGTAGTCTGACGCGAGAGATGAGAGAGGGGGCTCAGCCTGGCCCAGCCTGGGTTTAAGTCCCGGTTTGGCCGCTTTCTGGCTGTGACCTTGGCCAGAAGGTCAGTCAGTGCCTTAAGCCTGAGCCGGTTCCTCACTTCCAAAGTGGGCAGGGGCCGGTGACCCTCACCTTCCTCATGGCCCAGCTGCTTGTTCTTGGCTTTCTTGCGGGCCTCCAGCCGGTCTGTCTCAGCATTGATGGTGTCGAAGACAGTCTCTGCCACCTCCTGCTGCCACCGCTCCGAGATGGTGAGGGGGAAGTTGCGGTAGAGCTCTTGGTCGCTGTCCAGTAACTTCAGCAGGTAGACAGGGCAGGGACGCATGGATGGACAGAAGGTGCCAGGACATCCATCGGCCACAGGCCTGCCCAGACCCAGGGAGGGGCAGGGACGGTCTGGGCCGCCTGCCACCCCCAGGGAAGTGTGGGGCGGAGGAGCTGAGGCCCACAGGTTGGCAGGGGCCTTAAGGGACAAGGTCTCCCCAGGCAGGATCAGGGCTCAGGTGAGAGGCCAGGCAAGGCCCAGTACCTTGATTCCTTTTGTGTCCTCCTCGTCAAAGGAGCCAATGTCGAAGGCGTCGGCTGCGTTCACCTCCCCTCGTGGGGGGATCAGCGGGGGAGGGTACTGCAGCAGAACAGAGGTCATCGGGCCTCAGCCTGGGGCAGGCGCTGCAGGGCGTCCCCCAGCCCCTGCCGCAGGCTATCACCTTCTGCAAGAAGACCATCTGCCAGTCCAGGGAGCGGAAGAAGGGGCTCTCCTTCACCTCCTGAGCCCTGCAGGGAGATGCCTGTCACCCAGGCCCCGCACCACCTCGAGTCGGGGGCTAAGTCTGGGCCATGGGGTCAGGCTGCCCAGGCTTAACTCCTGGTTCAGCCACTCT